GAATTAATTTTATTTTTTTTCCACCCTCCTCAAAAAAAATGCCTTATAAAAACTCAAGAAACAAGAAATAAAAAGAGTCTGGCCTTATCTGTTTGCTGAAATAGACCATAAGTATGGATGAACAAATATATTAATAAAAGGACTTCACATAATGGACTGATCAATCCGTTTTCAGACAAATAAATTCAATATTTCAATAAAATAGTAAATTGTTATACTTTGAAGGTTTCTTTTTCGGCGCCAATTTGACCATGTATTGAAAGTTTAGTACTGTCCTTTCCAAAATGTCTGGTACGTCGACGTCCTTCTGGTACATCACCAGGTTTCAAAAAACGCCCTGACAAGAGACCTTGCTGCAATGGAGAGTACGCTAGAATACCGATATTTCGCTTTAGACATTCTGGTATGATTTCAGCTTCTATAGCACGCCATAACAAATTATAAGGTAGCTACAAATAAAATGAAATTAAGATAAAGGTTAAAGGTTGTTGATGGAATAACTACTGTAAAAATTTGTTTTTCATGAAATTATAAGTAGCTACAAACACACAAAAAAAAATATGAAAATAAAATAAAGCTTGGAGGCTGTCCATTAAAGAACTATTGTAAACTATTGCTTTTTGAGGTAGATTTATGTTCAATAACAAATTGGTACCCGGTATGTATGGTAAATTGTGTAACGAGGGTGTTACATATACATAACATGTGTATTCATTATGGCTGGAGTAGAGCATTGAATATAATTACTCTAATTGGAAATCAAATAAATGTATAAAATTACATAGAAATTTCTTATAAATGCAATAATAATAATACAGTAATAATAATATAAAATAATAATAATAATAATATACTTTATTTCATCTTTAGAAATACAAAATTTCTATTAATGACTAGCAATAAAATGTGTACTTCAAAAACTAGACTAAAATACAGTACAAAATAACATTGAAAAAAAAAAGAATTAACAGGTACCCCCCCCCCCCAGGTACATAGTAAAGTCTAAATAAAGTAATCACTGATTACGCTTTTTAAATGCTGTAAAAGCAAAATATGCTAACTTAGCTATATTTTTACTATTATCTGTCTGCATCAAGTAAATAATTTTCAAGGCTGTTTAATATTTGATCTAGGAATTTAATGTGTGCAAATAGATCTTGATGCAGAGAGTGGTATTCAGGGGAACACGACATCTTGAAATGGATTTCATCCTCAATGGAATTCATATTGCAATGGCTACTAATTCTCTCCATGATTGGTGTTTTAAGCCGTTATATATCTACCTGTTTCGATACAAACATTATTACTCGTCCTGAATTTTGCTAAATTTATTATGTGCCAAATATGGTTCATAACTGTACTCCATTTTAAATTTTGTAAAAATTCTTAGTTTGCTACCATCTTTTGTAATCTGTGCTCTCCCCAAAGACTATTATGTATTTACTTGTGTTTACAGTGTTTATAAGTTTTTTTGAATGTACCTTAGCTTTGACAAGTTATCTTCAGAAAGCGAATTTAGATTATTATTTTTAAAGATATTTTTTTATGGAAGATATCAAAGTATAGTCGTAAGAAAAATTATTTTGCTCATTGTAAGCCAAATTTTGTGATATTACTGTAAAACATGTTGAAAAAGCAACTTGCAATTTTAGCAAATTGTGGTGAAATGACGTAATAGTGAAATGTTGATTTAGCCAATCTTTCTTGTCATTGTTGATTTCCTGTTTTCACAATACTTGTCTGTCGCACGCCAAAACAAATGCGCGCAGTTATGACCTCCAGAAAAACTGTCAAGTGTAAGTTGATTATGTTCGCAATGAAAAAAAAATGATTCAACAGAGATTTGAAAAAGCGGGTATCGTTGCTGCGTCACATCTAGAACATTGACCTTTTATATTGGGACTCAAACATTACAAAGTACTACTAATTTCCGTAATAATATATCAGTATCACTTCATTTATTTTCATTGAAATAATGACCTCATGAATAAGTTTATTTTTTTGTGTTAATTTACTTTTCAATAAAGTGTATCGGTATCTGTCATGTCAGTACGTTTTTTTTTTGTGTTGTTTACAAAGTGTGATTGGAGAAAAAAGACGTTGTTTGGCGGACATTTTGAATTTATAATAAAGTCATTAGTGACATCGTGAATTAGCGAATCAGTTCTCTCGCTAAATTCGCTAAAAAGACATGCTCGTTAAAAAGACATGTTTTACAGTATCTTCTGGAAGTTCCCTTAACCAGCATGATAATTTGAGCATCTATCAAGAGTGGATAGCTGACTAACCCAATTGCAATATGATTATAGATAAATACATGATCGGACATGTTTCAGGCTATTTAACAAAATGCGGCTGACCATGATCAACCATTGTGATTGGCGGCCAAAAGCTGGTTCATTAACATATTGGTATCTCCGCAGATCTATTTTTAGTACAATACCTGATTTGTGCACACACTGCCCTCAGCATCGTATACATCATTCAAGTCTTTCGGTCCAAAATTACAGACACCATAGGCACGTATTCTTCCCTTTGACTGTTGTCTTTTCAGTTCATCTACAGTCTCTTTCATGTTTTTACAATTCACTGCCCAGTGAGCCTACATGAATCAAACAGAACACGAGTGTGTGTGTATTTCCAAGCAAACTTATATGATCATGGCACTCAGATGACATAAATTCTGCGACAAATGATCACTCATTGGGACTCTTAGAAACCATAAATTTTTCACCAGTTTTTATATTTGTTAAGTTTAATCATAACCATTTAACATCAGAAATAAAAACAAGCAGCCTGTCGACTCCACTGTTAGCAACGCACATTTCAATTAAAGAACTGAAGATATCATTAGAAAATGAACAATATGTATACATGTACCGTAGTATCAAATCAATCAGACTTTGTTGTTTTCAACGAGAATTTGAAAATATATTTTTTTTATCAAAATTGACAAAAATATTTACGAAAATTAGAAAATTGAAGATATCATCATGAAATGAACAAATCTAAGAGAGGTCTACCCAAGGTACATATACACCAAGTATGAAAGCATTCAGGCTTGTGGTTTTCAAGAAGAAGTCGAAACCGTAAAAAGTGGACACAAACACCAACGGACAATCACTCATATGATAAGCTCCGCTTGACAAAGTCAACACCGGAGCTAATAAAAGCCGTTGTCACTTCTTCTAAAAAACAATGAAGCAGCCTGCTATATACTTGTTATGCGTTTTCTCATTGAATGATAACAAAAGCTGTTTCACAAAATAAGTAGAATCAGACAAATATTCTCATCTCTGGTGAGTGAGAACAACATTGAACAGTGTCGGCAAAAACCATAAAAACTGACACCAAAAGCCAATACTATGGATATCGCCAAGGCAGGAATGCAATGTCAAGCATACACACCAACTACTGTGATTTTTATTTTAAGTAACTGTAATAACATCTGATGTGTAATGTACGTGTAAAATATATCCAGGCATGTAAGACATGTGGTTTCTTGAAATAGTTAAACAAAATGGCTGCCAGTCAGCCATTTGGCTATGATGTTGACAAAAATGTGATAAAATAATTCATGAGAAAAAATTATCAGCCATCAGAATTACTATTCAAATCATTTCAATGAGTCCTCATAAAAATTTGGGATAGTGATCTAGTGTTAATGTCAAAACCTGTATACTGATCCATTTCAGAATTGAAAGAAAAGAAATTCTTCACTTTGAATATATTTATTTGTATCTACAATTTGTACATGGCTTGAATCTTAACACACCAGCTGACACCAATTATTTCCATTTATTGCAGGTATCCATGGTGAATGTGATGTATTAATACATCTTATTCAGTTTTTGATTTGCATCATGAGGGATAAATATAAAATGGGATAATTACCTGATAAAGATCAATGTAGTCTGTTTGTAAAGAACGTAGACTTTCTGTAAGTGCCTGTGAAACAGAAAAAACAAGCCATGCATGGCACAGTCCCTGTCAGTTAGCGAATTTATGATATATAGTTTTGTTTGTAATATAGCTGGAATATAAACATGTCAGGAATATGATTATGATGATTGTTTAACATTTAAATGATTGACATTTGTATAATGTATGATGTATGTGTGAAGTTTGATTGTGATTGGTCCGGGCATTTCTAAGATACAGGTCCGATACACACACGCGGACGCACAGACACACATGGACGGATGGACGCACGGAGGTCAAAACACAAGTCCCCGTTTTCGGACTGTGTCTGAACGGGGACTAAAAAATGAATTGAATGAATGAAGAACTTGTAGCGATAGTGCAAACAAACAAATAAATAAATACCTTTTCTATATCTTCAGGGGAATAGGAACATGGCTTTCCATTTCTATAACTCCCAAATTTGGTTGCTATGACAGCATCTTTTCTCCTATTGCCAAGGCATTTACCAAGAACTTTTTCTGAACAATGGTTTCCATATGCCTATAAACACAAATTTTATAAGGATTTATTGTATCATACCACATTATTGTTCTGTACATCAGAAAAAAAAGTTGTGTTTCTGATCTTTGTGCGTACCTCCAAAAAAAGTCGATTTCACTTATTTCACCACTGCAGAGTATCTCCCGTTAACAAATTGACGAAATCTGTAAATTTTGTGCCTTTTTAAATATTTACCAAAAATAAAATATCACCTTACCACCACATTTTTGAAACCATATGGCATGTACATTTTGACCAGAAACACTTTATTTTTCGGTTTTCCTGAATAATTTTATTGTAATACTATGAAATGATCAAAATTTGAGTGAAAAAAAGTATAGGCAGAGGTTTGCTTCAAAATCAGAAATATTGTTTTTTTATTTCAAAAAATTCACATCACCAATATAGTCATCAAGAAAATTTAAAGAAAATAAACAAAGCAAATAATTATAAAGAAATTCATAAAATAAGAAAAATACAGTATTAAAATTTCTTTATGAAAACTTTTGGCGTTAGAAAGATTTTCAGAATCACAATACAATGAAAGCTCACACATATGGAGGAAGCCAGACATGAAGGTTACATCCCCCCCATCCCCACCCCACTGACAAGTTGTAAAGTACATAACATTTCATGTGAATCATCAGGACATCATCAGATAAATATATCGTAAAAATTGCTAGCGGTGAATATTTAAAACAGTTTGCAGGAGACTTTAATTATACATTACTTTCACCACACCGGAATACTCACCTCTGCTGTATCAAAAAAATTAACTCCGAGTTCCAGGGCTTTGTCAACTATTGCTCTAGATGTCTGTGATGAAGAAAATCAAGATATCAATAACACATGGCCTGTTGAAAACCTCCATGGATATCCGATATGAATGGTATATAATAATATCATCAGGTAATAGGTTATGTTATATATTTGGAGAGAAATGAATTAAGCATGCATTGCTTGTTTTATGAAATTCATTCGTCTAAACAGAGAATAAAAAAAGGTGATTGTCATTTTTGCAATAAATATATCGTACTACACAGTAATTCACTGAACTTAGTACTTAGTACATTACAGTGAAGGGCACAAAGCCGGGCTTTGTTTATAAATTATCATCAGCTTTCATTCAAATTCAAATAATCAATAGTGATTGGCTAAGCATTGGACAGACACGATGTGCACATGTGATATAGCAACTGCGACCACCCACATAATCAAAATGTTCAACTAATTTATTAATAATTAATTAATTAATTAATTAATTACTAGTAATTAATTAATAAATCAACTTTAGTTCTAGTTAACGAGAGGAAGTCACCGCGAAGCATGCGTTTGAATTCCATGTAAACAAACAATATATTGTACACATGTTGTATATGCCGCTATATCAAGACCTTTAACTGGAGCTAAAGTTGATGTCACAATAAGATTTCTGGATTGGTCAATTCTAACAACCATTTTTACTTATAAAAATGTATATTCATAAAATGTTGGTAACGACCACCACTACTTTATCCCCTTTACAGTACTGTTTACTTATGACACTGGTTCAGTATTTTTGTAACAATCCCTAACTAACCTCTTCTTTTTGTGGAGGCCATGACATATCATCTTCACCGGAATTGAACTGCCAGCATCCAATACACACCCTGGATACACTCAGCTCTGTTCCTGGTAAGGTAATCTTTTCCATACTTTATAAACTATAAACATAATGCAGAAATACAAGGTGTGATATTAAATAATAAATTCAAATAAAACAATTCCCAAATGTTGAGAATACACCATATTTTAGTCTGTATATGTACATAGTGCTGTTAAAGACTACACTGAATTCCCAGTCAGTATATTGAACATAGAATATTGCACAATGAAACTAGACCATATTTTGTTTCATAGGCTGTATTGGTCATAAAATTACTCAAAAAAGTTATGAAATGAAATTTTTGGTATTTTTCGTCTAGATATTTAGTGACTACACCCTTCAGGGCAAAGCAGCGCATTTATTCTTGTTGAAAACTGTCTAAAACATGCATGTTTCTTATCTGTCAGTTTTGTTTTCTACATACATGTACATCACATCTGTAATATTAATTCACTGAATTTAATACTAATTAAAACAACAATCGACATTGCTGCTTTATGCAAATGATGACATACTTTTACATTATATTATCCATTAAAGAGTTTGTAGTAAACTGCGATACAATTCAAACCTAAATAATAACATTACACAATGCCAAAGTAATTAATTCATAGGCTTTTGACTACTTTTAAAAGCCTTGGGTCAAGAGTACAACAATAGACATTAGAATTTTGTTATCAAAGATATTTCCAACTTTACTATCATAGGCATCATATTCAGCACAACGTTCCATAAAGCTGTAATTCTGTGACTTAAACGTATAAACATACTGTAAAACTGTACAAACTAGACTTGAAAGTTTTTAAAGTTCTGAACAGTAAATAAGAAATACTTCCAAAACAAAGCATTTATAACCACAATACCTTCCGGTTTTGTCTGGCGGTCACAATAATAATGGGCCACTTTAATGGCCATGTCAATAGCAATTGTTGGCGTAAACTTCTCGTTAAAATGTTTAAATTGTAAAAGAAATTGTGAGAGTATATAAACAGTACTGCCTAGGGCACAGAACACTATACAGTAGTTTGATAGAGATTTCTTTTGTGTAAAGAGAGACAGGTTTTTTGTTGTGCGATATTTGCGATGGAATTATTGGAAGAGGACTAATCAGAATAGAATATATCGCTCTAGCTTTGAAGGAAATTTCACATTGTTTTTTTGTTTATAGTGAAAAAAAATAAACTTATTTTAAAATATAAAACACATTTAATGGTAATATACTATCAGTAGCACTCACACTGAAGACAACATGTTTACAAATGTATTTATAGAAATTTATAAACCCAACTGTTTTTATTAGAAACCAGTCTTTCAAATCCAAATGACTGGATTGGCTGGGCTGGGCAGGCACACCTCTCCATGCCATGAAGTTCAATTATTTTACTGATATCAGTGTATGTGAGTGAATAAACTATTTTGAAAGAATTGCTTTCTGATACATATTGAATGTCTCCCAGTAACTCTGGTCTATACTGACAGTACTGCATGTACACAGATACACAGGTATTTCACACACCTGGTATGTGCACAGGCAAGCGAGGTAACGAATTAAAACTGGTTTAACATTATTAATAATGTCAGATCGATTTGAGTTTGTGACAATTGTAAAACCACATTCAATACATGTTTTGTTAGGCTCCGTGGTAGCATTGTTATTTTAGCGTCATACTAGTAACACAAAACAATACACGTACATTCACAATCGATGGTCCGTTCTATTTTGGACATACGATTTAAGTATCAGATTTAACGGGTGTGTCCACGCGTGTGCCTACTGTTTATACCCCAACCCATTTCTAGTCCTGTAATACGTTCAGCTTGCAGTAGTCTGACTACGTGGTGCACAACACGGACCCAGACCCAGACCGTGATACAACACCACAGAGTCTTGAAAAGTCAAGGACCCTCGATCAAATATTTTGGATCGAATCCAATGTCAGCTTAATCCAGGGAGTGTTTAGTGTTTGAAGATCAACGCCCCACCACGAATACGATCGCCGATTATGTTTATTCATCCACAACATTCAGCTCACGTAACTATTTCTGTGCCGATCAGTAAATGTGCACCGTGCTGTAACCCCGAACGGGTTGCTAGCTGCAAAGGAATCCCCAACGCCATGCATACACAGTCGGGAATTTGTTAGATCGCGCATTATCACAAATAATCATTCAATATTTTTACGTAATAACTAATATTGTTAAATATAACATCGAAACATAACGTATAATGTGTGTAGTTATTAGTGACGATAATGCGTACTATACCTGAAGAATATATACGGAACAAGTTCAATGAAAGCCCCGCTATGTAAAACACTGGTCAGGTGATATACGCTTCCCTAGCGCGGCAAATATTTCATTCTGCGAAGTTTGCGATGAAGTTATTGGCAGTGAACAAACTTTAAAATTACTACAACATCAAAGAACTATGTTATACTTAAGGACATTTAGTTTGCCATATAGAGTTTGCTTTATTAAATAGGAGAACGTTAATGTTCAATAGTCGCTGATTCACTAATGGGCTAGGGGGTTTGGCTGGCCTTAAATGGGGTGTATGGGTTTAAGACGTTGTTGGGCAGGAACGAACCATCAAATTAGGAGGTGGGTACATTTTGTCACTTCTATTATCCTATGCAGTGACTACGTCAGCCGACAATGGTGGCCTAATAAGGTATATACATATTATATAATTGTTACACACCGTGATTTAGTTGCACAGAACCTTATTGCATTATGATGTGACACTTTTATTTAAAAATTGTCAAACCGTGACTATTTAATAAATAAATCTTTCCAATGTTCACAATGACTTTAAACTTGTGATTGATCTAGTGCAACAAATTTAACACTCAATTATAGTAAATCCTCATTAGTTAGATAAAAAAAAGGAGGAGTGGGGGAAACTAGATCAATATTTTGAAAGCTTTTTTACGAGTAAAACATGGTCCAACTCATTCAGAATTCCAGACCATTATTTTATTAAAATACAGGAGGGTTATTGACACATAGAAAGTGGCATTAACAATATATGTCATTTTCTGTGTATTAACTATTTAAGTGTTTCGCAGTGAATTCGCATCCACTGAGAATAATAAAAATAAAATATCACACAAAATACCGTTTTGAGCGTTTTAAAAATCAGTACTACAACTATGAATACACGCCCGTTTACTCCTTCGGAAAGCATCTCTCTTAATTTCCTCCTCTTCTACCTCGCCCCTGTCATACCACTGGTTATGAATTAGTTTTTATTGTGATTTACATAACAAATAATAAGAATAAAAACAAAGTAAAAGTGTGTCTTGTAATTATGACAATGACAATGACTCACATCCCACCCAAATAATTTGTATTATGATTAAGTACGACCGCAAAAAATATGCCTTTTATTCAGAATAATTAAATACCTCGTCTCCAAATAATCCCACTCAAAACAATGGTTATGAATTTATTTGTATTATGATTTACGTAGAACCATCAAAACCAAAACCCCAAATGCAATTTTAGTTGTCAACTGAGCCTCAACTTTTCCCAAATCTCCGGGAGTGCAGTGACTGCTTTAAAGGACAGTTGCTGTTTTTTCTATGCGGGACCAATCATCAAATCCCAACATTTCTTAGAGTGTCTTACCCTGTCCCCAGATTAAGAGGAAGTCCTCACTGTTGCAAATCGAAACTACAAGCAAATATACAGCTGAAATACACGATTTTAAGTCCCAACTCTGCAAATGAGCCTCACCACTGTGAGCAGATGTACTCAGTGTTATGTACTCTTACAATGCCTGATTTGACATAGACAATTAAAATCTCAGACATCACAAACAACAAGTAGAATACAATTCTACACACAAATAAAGCCTACTTTAATCATGGCCAGAATGACCTTCCCAGTTACATGCTGGAAAAATATGTCCACCATGAAGAACACCTGGGTGAAAGTGGTCAAACTTACAAATGCACCTTGCCACTGTAAGAAGATGCACTACCACCTGTATATAAATACCCCATCACATTGTCCCAAAAAGACAGCTTTAGTGAATATGCTTCACCTGTTCATTGTTAATAAGCACCATTTCTCTATGTGGTGGCCAGGGCAAATTGCTTATTGGAGGTGCTGCCCCCAAGCTTGACTACATGCCCCAAAACATGGACATGATTGTCGCCAACACCACCATGACCATAGCCATGAGGAATCATACCACTCGAAATTATGAAGGGATGGGTTATGTCGCATTGATGGGACTCTCAAGAGTATAAACATAAAACAGTTGACAAACCTCGGCTGCCCCAAGACGAAGAAGATTTCTTCTGTGTTGTTAAAAATGTAGGACACCTTGAGATCTGAATCAGGAGGTAGGAGTTCAGTCACAGTTCATGTCCATTTCCCCCATACTGAATTTATTGCTGCAGATTTGTGTCACAAGTGGGCTTAGTTTGGGCATCGAAACATACAAAAA